ACTTTATGAAACCTACCTAAAAATTGATACAAAACTTCGGCAATTTGCCAAACAAATTCGTCTATGTCCTACTCCTAATTTTGCACACATATAGTTTGTTATGGCATCCTTATAGGGGATGCATTGTTGAAGCATAATGTAAGTTGAGTTCCATCTTATAGGCATATCTAACGCTAATGATCTATGAGGTATATTTAATGCTTGTAAGAACCTAAACCAATCTTCTTGTCTTTGGTTACTACCTTGAATCCATGCGAGACTATCTCTAATTTTTTAATGTGATTACTCATTTCTTTTAAACCGGATTTAACTATTAAATTAATTACGTGATATGCACAACGTTAGTGGAAAATTGTACCGTCACCGAATAAACTTAAATCATTTTTAAAGAACTCAATTGCTTTTGTATTGGCACTAGCATTATCTAATGTTATAGCCATTACTTTATCTCTTAGTCTAAATTCATCAATTACATTTAAAATTGTATTATATATTAAAACCGCGCTATGTGATCCTAGAACACATTTAAAACCTAATATTCTTTTATCTAAATCAAATCCTTTAAAGTAATGTCCGGTTACAGCTAAATAATCTTTATTGGTAACGGCAGACCAAATACCTGCCGTTAACGCAACGCACCCGCTAGTCGAGTGTAAAAGGTTTATTAATGTTTCTTTTGCTTTTTTAAATAATTTTAATAAATCTTTCCTAAGAGTAGTTTTTGAAGTGAATTATGCATTAGGATTATGTACAACCTTAATATATCGTTGCCAATTAAGATGTTCTACAAAACTAAGTGGTTGATCTAAAGCAGCTATCATTCGTGCAACTTCCATACGATCTACTTGCGGACCGTATTTTCAAGTGGTTAGACCGCCGGTTGCGTGATCAAAAGATAATTGTGTTTGGTGGAGTTCGGATCCGCCGGATTGGCTAAGCTTTTGAAGACACTTTTCGGAGTGTCTTCTCAAGTGTGTGGTACCGTGAATAGTGTTACATTGTAATTTAGATAAACAATATTTACACTGAGCTATATGTTTAGTGTTACCTTCATTGTCGATCTCATCAATTATGTTGAAGTGATCCCAAACTGTCGCGGTGCGCTTGCATTTCCTCCTAGAGGTTGCAACACTTGCAGACACAGTCGCACTGGCACTCACCGCTTCTCCACGCCTACCACCATTGCGACCATGACCTCCAGTGCGTCCACCAGGGCTCGGATTAGTAGATTCATGCGTAACAAATTCATTAGTGGGAAATTGCCCTTTTTCATGTTGTGTTGGGCATTAACGGGAATACCACTATAACCAAAAGGATCCATTATAAAAAAAATAAGAGCGATTTGAGAGAGAGAGCTTTAGGATAATGTGGTAGTTTTTGGAAAAATTTTGACAGAGATTTGAGAGATCGAGAGAGATTGAGAGAAATTGAGAGAGATTGAGAGAAATTGAGAGGGATTGAGAGAGTTTGAGTGAGAAAAATGTGTGGAGGATGGGGGGTATTTATAAGGAAATTTTTGGGTTAAAAAATTAATTTTTTTTTCAAATTTTCGGAGGTGCAACGGCTAGTAGGGTTCGGCGGGTCGGGTTCGGGGGGCAATGGGCAAAAAAGTAGCCGTTGGACGGGTTTTCGGGCAGTTTGGGTAATTCGGCCATGTCGGGCTTTCGGGCAAAATTCGGGTTTTCGGGTCGGGCATAACGGTCAATTTTTTAAACTTTTTTTCAGGTAGTTCTGGCTTCGGGCGGGTCGGGCTTGGCCGGAAAAATTTAAAAAAAACTCCGGCGGACGGCAATTGGCGGTGCCTACACGGCGGCGGGCTCCGGCGTGGTGACAAAATTCGGGCTGCCCGAGCTCGAGCCTGAATTTGAACGGGCCGGCATATGGGCTTGCCCGCCCGAGCCTGAAAAAATTCGAGCCTCGGGCAGCCTGCCGGCCTAAAGTTCCACCACTACTTACAAATGCTTTCAGTGTACATAGTGATAGATCCTTATCTCCTGCCTAGTTTTAGTGTTCAAAACGGCGTCTAACTAACAACATAATGTTATATTTAAAAATTTTGGAATCCTTTTAATTGACTTTTCTATGTTTTAATATTTGAGTCTATTTGAATGATTTGTCAGTGTTATTAGTTAGAAACTAATTAGAACATCAAAATTTAAACTGACTTATTCCAATTATATTGGCCTCGTTTGGTAATATTTCCAATTTTAATGTTTTTGAACAAAATATTACATATTTCTTTTATTTTTTTTTAATGTTCTATCAAAAAAGTATATTTGTACCTACAATTTTTTTTTATGTAAAAAGAAGTTTGGTAAAGTTATTTTATTGCATATATTTTACAACAACAACAACAAAAACGTGAATAACTTTAACAAATTACATTTCTACCTCAAAAGTTTTGAAAAATTACATTTAGATCTAATATTTTTTATGAACTGTATTTTGGCTCCCTAAACTTCTTGATTATTACATTTTGATCCCTATACTTTTTGAAATTACATGTTGGTCCGAAAATGCATTTTGACCCTATCTTTTGAAATCTTTACAAATAGGTCCTTATAAGTTTTCTCAACCTATCGTTTATCTACTCCGATTTCGACCTCGATCGTGGTCTCAACATTGAAAGGGAAGTGATATGTTAGATTGTCCAGATGGTGGTCCCAACTCAACCCCAATTGAGGTCCTGGCTCAAGCCTAATGGCCATCACGACTCGATTATGTCATCAATCTTGAGTCGTCAGTTTAATCTTGATGTGATTCTGATCCTAACCCAAGCACGGTCCCAAACTCATTAGTCCAATCACAATTGCAGTCCCTACTGCTGAACCAACCAGGTCCTCACTCATTCGCGACCTTAGCTTCAGCGGCGACCACAACGTAAGATTTTTATTAAAAGGTTTTGAAAACAAGAAATTTTGTTCTATAATTTAAAAAATTTTGACAACAATTGAGAAAAAAGAAAACAAGATCACCAAACATGTTTTAAAAAAAAAAAAAAGTTTGCACTTTTTCATTTAAAAAAATATAAAAAACTTTTTAAATAAAAAATACCAAACAAGCCCATAAATTATTAGTTTAAGAATTCTATAGTAGGGTAATTTTCACACCCCATCAGAACTCAGTTTACAGTTGTGTCGATTAATATGATTTTGATAAGATTTAGTATTTAATAACCATCGTAGAAGAGCTCACAACACTCCAAAATCAGGTATTGATCACCGTCATGATTTATTACATTGATTAGCAAATTGTCATATTGTTAACAGCCGCTAGTCTTGACCTTTGGTGGCCAAATTGTCGTACATTTCGTTTTCAGGGTTCAAAGGATCACAATTATGATGGATAGATGTAATTTAATTAGATTCATTTGTTTTTTTTTTTGTTCTTTTTGTTTTGTTTTGTTTTTTGTTTTGTTTTTTTGTTTTTTTGTTTTTGTTTTTAATAAGAGACTAGGTTCATTTGTTGGAGTACAATGAAATATGAAAGCATTTATTATTAGCTACTAGTGTTGCTCAGTGGTCGCATTAGTGTTCTTGGCCCATATGCAGCTGCTAGGCGATGTTTTAGTAATGTTTCCCATGTGCTAGACTGCTAGTAGGTGATCTTTTGGTGTCATCAAAATTTAAAGAGACTATCTGTAAGCCACGTGGTACATGGTTTCATTTAAATTGGAATACGCTCAAATAAAAAAAAATGAAAATTATAAATTTAAATTAAAAAAAATATCCGGTTAAAAAAAAAAAAGCTCCATTCACCAAAACTAAATTAAAATCAAAATCTCATTTCTTAAGTCTCGCTCGCTTTGCGAATTCGAATTAAAACGTGACATTTTAAGAATTTTTAACTGTAACAAAAAGAGTTAGATGTGACATTTTTAAGGGCTTTTAATTGTGTAAAAATCTATAGTTAAAAATTTAAATTAGTGAAATAAATAAGGCAGTAATTTACCCAATTAAACCTGTCTATCCCAATTTGGAATCCGTAACACATTGCCGACATCCGAAAATAATTTTAGTGTAGTTTTGTTTATACATTGAAATCCGGGAAAAAAAAGAGAGATATATTTTTCATTTAAAATATAAGTCTAGAAAAAAGGCTATTCGTAAGAAATCAATCGCATTAACTATTATGGCTTCCTCTAGTTGTGAACCCGCCACACTTATCTTTATCAATGATTTGTACAAGAAATTATGAGGCTCTGCTTTGGACCATCATCATTTAACTTCTGAAGAAGCCAATTTGCAACAGAGTTTGTAAATGCAATAAAATCGTGTTTGTATCCCAAACATGTACATATCATAAAGAGCAACTTGTTTTCTGCTGGTGTTATTTTTGGTTTACAACCAAGAAAATGACATGTATTGAAAAAAAATTTGATAGTTAAAATCACGGGGATTTTTTTTTTTTTTTTTTTTTAACTCTATTGGAGAATGTGGGCAATTTTAGGCCACCTCCAAGTTGCATGACTCTTCACCAAAAAAAAAAAAAAATTGCATGACTCAATGAGATTTTAACATTATTAATAGATAAAGTCTCTCCACATTATACATATTTTAAAAGAAAATATACATGTACTGAAAAAAAATATATATATTTTTAAAGAAAATATACATGTTATGCTCAAATCTGATATCAGATTGGAGACAATTCCTTATTTATAATGAGGATTCCGTGCTGTTACAAGGCCTTGTGTAGCCAAAATCTCTCTCTCTCTCTCTCTCTATTTTCTCTCTCTCTCTCTCTCTATTTTTCTCTCTCTCTCTCATAATTTGATATGGGAGAAGCTCAAGAAGTGCAACTCAGTGTCACTGGTAAGTCGGTTTGTTCATATTCTCAACTGGGTCGTTGACCTCTGTTTTCCATCTTTTTTTTGTTGTTGTCACTTATCAACTTTACAGGGAAGTAATGAAGGAAAGGGGTATGAACTTAAAAGTTGGAATTATTAACAGTCTACTCGTTATCTGGGAGTTATACACAAATCCTAAGAAAAAAAATAAAATAAGATTCACCGTGAACAAAGTAGCATTTTCTCTCTTATGTGGAACAAAAAATTGTCACGAATTCAATCTTTTCTACACATATAGAATATAGATGGTAAAAAATATCAAACTAATCAACTTTCAATAGAAAAAGTCCTTTTCAAGAATCTGTTACTGTATAGCAGCACTTTTTAATTTTTCATCTAATATTATAAAATTAATCCGTAGATTATGTAATCTTTTTAGCAGCTCAGGAAGCTAATGAAGCAAATCGTCAGGGCCACACAAATGGTTCGATCAACCAGTCACCTATTCCTGATCAGCCAAGAAGAAAACTTATGAGCTGGATTCGAATCGGTATCTACGCGGTGTTTGTTCTTGCCGGTCAATCGGCAGGAAATCTGTTGGGGAAATTGTATTATGACAAAGGTGGAAATAGCACATGGATTGGATCATTTCTTCAGGTTGCAGGCTTTCCAATCCTGCTTCCCTACTATCTGCTCCCATCAAGAAAGAATAACAATACCAGCAGCAGGAAATCTGTTGGGGAGATTGTATTATGAGAAAGGTGGAAATAGCAATTGGACGGTAACACTTGTTCAGCTTGCAGGCTTTCCGATCCTGCTTCCTTATTATTTCTTGTTGGCAAAGAAGAACAAAAATGCTATAATAGAAACTGACCAAAATATGATCAGTCCAAAACGACCTTCTACTCTAGTCGTTGCATCAATTTATATTCTTCTTGGCCTACTTTTAGCTGCAGATGGCTATTTCTACTCTATTGGGCTAATGTACCTTCCTGTGTCCACTTACTCACTCATATTGGCCTCACAATTAGCCTTCAATGCTTTTTTCTCCTTTTTTCTCAACTCTCAAAAGTTCACTTTTTACATCATAAATTCCTTGGTGCTTCTCACCCTCTCCTCTATTCTCCTTGTGTTTCAATCGGGGTCTGATGACACTCACAATAATTCCAAAGGGAAGTATGCGATCGGTTTCATTTGCACGGTCGGTGCGTCTGCAGGGTATGGATTGGTGCTCTCCTTGACACAATTCTTCCTCAATAGAGTCTTGAAAAGGGAAAGTTTTTCAGTGGTCATGGATATCATAGTGTATCAATCACTTGTTGCAAGCTTGGCCATTCTTGTAGGGCTTTTAGCTAGTGGGGGCTGGAAAGGATTGGACGAGGAGATGAACTCGTTCGAGCTTGGGAAGTTGTCCTATGTCATGACACTAGTATGGACAGCCATAATATGGCAGCTCTACACTATTGGAGTTGTAGGGTTGATTCTTGAGGTATCTGCACTCTTCTCCAATGTCATGATCGCTTTGGGTTTGCCTATTGTCCCTGTTTTAGCAGTTTTCTTTTTCCATGAGAAGATGGATGGGATAAAGGTTATGGCAATGTTCTTGGCTATTTGGGGCTTCATTTCGTATATTTATCAAAACTACCTTGATGATTATTGTTCCAAGAAAGAGAGTAGCCAAAAGGCCATAAGAGAACACGAGCTTCACCCCATAGAGAAAGAAAGATCAATATTTTAATCTATGAACTTCTCTAGTGCAATTTGGTTCCTCTTTTTCCCTTATTATAGTCATCTTCTTAGATAGCTGTTGTTATTAATTTATACCAACATATCAAGTTTATGTAGAATAATTGGATATCAATTCAAGTGGATGTTGGTTTCTCAAACCAGATTTTCAAAAACAATTGTGTGGAATTATGGTATTGATTGAATCACATAAATTAAAATGTAATACGATCATTATTTTATATTAATTTAACTATAAAGATATTAAAGAGAAGAAGAAGAATTTTACCGCCGCTCGATTATGACGTTAATCTTAAACTCCTCCAACACCGTCTTGAGCTTTAAATTCCAAGAACACCACATCTTTTTCTCAACGTATCTCTAGATCAATGTGAACTCGAACGTGTGGACGTTCTAATGGGTTTCTCAACACATGAGAATGATGAATGGGAAAGTCACCTATGGTTATCACTCACTTTTCTCAAAAGTATGTGATATCTCTCAGTAGCCTTTTTTTTTCTCTCACTTTTTTTTTTCTATTCCAAAAAAAAAAAATCCATATAAAATTGATCCTTCATCTCATAAATATGCACCCGCACATTTACTTTGCTTTTCCTCATGATGAGGAACGTTTCCTCCTACACCCTTTTTTTTTTATTGTTTTGAGAAAATGTAGAGAGTTATAGGAGTGTGAGAAAAATTTTCTTCTTTCCATAAAAGTGATTAGATTCATCCATATGAATTTAAAATAATTTAAAATTAATTTTAATATTAATTAATCAAATGAATTAATATGTGTATTTAGAATTCACAATTCTAAATTAATAAGCATAGCCCAATATGATATATATAGTTCACATTAATCTTGTGGAGCTGTTGAGAGGAACTATGTACATTATAATTTTAAGCTTCAATAATTTTGATAATTAATTAACACCTTAATTAATATATCAAAATTTTTAATTCCAAATTATAAATTTGGAATTGTACTCTTAAAATTATAAAACAATTATGTTCACAGAATTTGTGTTGTCCATTGATATAGTCACTACATATGAATTAGTCCTCCATACACGGTTCATAATTAAAGCTAGGAATTTTCTGTTGACCTATTTAATTGTATCTTTTTCCATAAGTACCATTGATCCTCTAATGAATAATATATTTTATGATCCAATCATAAAATTGAAAGGTCTGATTATTCAAGCCCCGAATCAACACTTATGGGAACTGCCCATGTACTTCATTATGAAGGAATGAATTTCATCTTGTAAATTATTATTCTCAACTATTTATTTTGCTATGCTCCCAATACCCAAGACTTTGATACTATTCATATGTGTCATTACTCAATATTTCAAAGAACATAATATCATAAATAGAAGTATGTTAATTACTTAGAATTAAGATTAATTCATATATGACCATCATTGATGAATATTAAATGCTCTATTTAATAACGGAATTTATTAGAGATTCATAAATAATCGTGTTTCGGTCCTATGTAATCATATTACATAAAGTGTTTTTATTCTAATAATCTTATTATTAACAATTTATGATAAGATTGTCTCATTCAGAATGTAATGAACCACACTAGTAATTTTAAATTAAACATCTCAATTTTAATTTATAATTACGGACAAGTTTAAATTATTTTACTTCAAACATTATCCTCTACATATAATACTTATATACAATGTTTAAAGTTACATCTAAAATAATTTAAGAATTTTTTATATTTATAAAACATCACATGCATGCAAAATAATATTGAAAAAATTCATCATTTCCTTAATAATTAGTAGAGTATTTACATCTTATTTGATTTAAGATTGGAAGCCCCACATTCTAAATGTACTTTATTATATGCTTCTTGTCATTCTTTTGGTAAAATTTATTGGTGTTCCAAGAGTCATAATTTGGGGAACTTGTAATGGAAAACGATGATGTTATAAATCTTTATATAAGAAAATCCTTTCTATTTTTGTGTGAATTATAGCATTTGTAAAATATGCATATAAAAATAAACAAAAATAGGTAAATCTGGAAATAGAGAAATATAAATTGATTACAACAAATGAACAAAACACGAAAAGGAAACATTTTAATCCTATGAATATACCTTTTCGATCTCTTTATTGAGTAGAATAAGAATCCACCTAGACCCATCACAAAAACAATTATGTCACTAAAAATGATTTCCGCCTTAAAATGATATTTTTTTTTTCGAACAATAGCTTTTTATTACGTAACATAATCTTAAACTTTTTGACACCCTAGGCTTTAACACACATCCTTGAGGGGAAAAGTTAGAGGGTTACTACAAATACATATACGGATATCTTTTTTTTTTTTTTTAAGTAATACATATATAGCTTTTTTTTATGCACCCCTCCATAAGGAAAAAAAAAAAAAATATATATATAT